CTCTGAGTGACACGAATGAAAGCAAAAAAATCTGAAAAATGCTTATTGTTTTGGAATAGACTATTTATAAAATTTTTATATTGGTTTTAACAGAAGAGAAATTTATCCTTACAGAGTCTCCAAAGGAGTATGGGGAAAAATAGCAAAACAAAACAAAAAAAAAAAAAAAAAAGAAAGAGAAAATCAGACTCACTGGCATCTGAGTGCTTCAGTGTGGTGATTTAGAAACTAGTTTTCTGCCTGACTGCTCAGTCCCCAGAGCAAAATACTTGTAGAAAAGAAAAAGACAAGAGTTACATTAAAGAAAAGCTCTAGTGTATTACTTATGAAGCAGAGTATTTCCCTCCCATATACAAGGCCAAATTCAGCTCATCAGATTCATCTTCCGCTCCCCTTACCAGCAATGGCAGACAAGCCAAGGCAGTACAGGTTGGCTGATAGGGTTTTACCGATGATTAGAAATGGTTCAGAGCATGTATTAGTCCATTCTCAGCACTGCTGATGAGACTAGCTTTTATAAATACATGTGTTAGTATCTTTTGAAATTACGTTTCATTTACAAGCAATTTTGAAGACACTGTTAAATAACCAAAAGTTCCTTAATGAGTGATAACTGATTTTCATAAGATTCTTTGAAGTAATTAAATGTTTAAAATAATGAATTGCTAGAATTTCTGACTTTCATTACTGATGCACGATAACAATGAAGAGCATATACTGTAATACCAAGTAAACATAACAACCCTTTATAAGTAGAATGGCTTCATTACAACTGCAATTTTTACTGTACGTTTTGGGGTTTTGGAGGGTTTGCATCACTGCCTTAGTAACCTGAAGTTCCCACCTAAAGTGACCTCTTTTCTGCACGGGAGAATAATTTCTGTCCCTCCACTGCTTGACATCTTTTCTAGATGCAAACAGTTTATTCCCAGTAATTTCATTTAACACATCAGCATGCATCTCTCAGACTGATGCTAGTCATGAGTTTGCTGAGCAAGGTTATTGACTGCATAGTTCTTGTTTGAAGACAAAAAGTATTATTTGCATTGAAATTCTGGTAATCAGGGTACAGGCAACTTTCTGCTAACATTTCAAGTCTGTTGCAAGTCAACATCAGCTGCTTCAGGAAACTTTACCCAGCAGAATGTAAGCTTTTGTTCCTCTAGAGTATAGAACAGGCTTTCCACCATGCTGTTGAATCTTCAAGGGATCGTGGCAGAGGAGTGGCTTTAGCTGTGACCCACTTTACACTTTCTTTTTCATAGCATCGCAGACTGTAGGTAATCTGACATCACTGTGTTACATAGACCATCTAGTGGTGGCAAACTCTAATAAGGATATTGTCATTACAATTGTAATTTGTTTGTGCATATGCATATGTGTATATGTATCGTATTCACTATTTGCAGGATTTGTCCCTACTCATACAAAAAAATATGTATAAATATGTGTCTGTTCTCTCAGCTCTAAAGAGGACAAAAGAAGAAGTTTAAGTTTGTTTGTGTTGTGACCACAGAAAATGTTACAAGAACAATGAGGGTTACATATTTACTACTAAAGTCCAAAATATGCAAGAAATATATGAGAGTTGTGTGTGCCTAAGTGTGAAAGCTCAGTTCTTTGAGCAAACAAAGCTAATATCCAAGTGTTGCTAGAAGAATAGAGGGAGAGGAGGATGCAAGAACAGCACCATATTGTATTAAAAAAAATGCATTTGAGAAAAGAAGGAGAAAGATTAACTAGAATCGAACACACTGTTTATAGCTAGAAATTCATCACAGATCTCCTGAGCCATTCAGTCCCCCAAAATAAACTATGTCTTTAAAACAGATAAAAGTAGTGGAATGTATGAGTATTTCCTAGTGCTTGACTGATTCTTGTAGTGGATCAGAGTCTTGGTGGCCTTGTCAGCAATGCCATCAAATTGGAGGAGACAAAAATAGGTAGAAAAACGTATTTTCACAAAGGAATAGGATGGTCATCTCAAAGGAATTATTCCAAAGTCACCACACAATTTAACAGGGTTCACAAGCCTCTGTCCAGATGACCTCTAAAAATTAAACCTCAGGAGATAAAGCACATCAAGACTAATCTGTATTGGCAAGGCAGAAAAGGAAGGTTTTGCTAAATCTGTTCGCACGCAACCTTCAGCTCAGTCTTTTGATTTCCTCACTGTGATGTTATCTTGCCATTGAACTGCAAGACTGAGCACATTCTTCTACCTTTATTATCAAAACATTGGTCAGCTTAAAAAATGGTGGGGGAGGGGGAAGATTGTTTCTTCCTCAGTTCTTTAACCTGTAGTATTGGGGAGAACATATCTGTAGCTTTACATCAAGGACAAACTTTGGACTTATTTTAGCAAGGTCAGCTTTGCCTCAGAGGCAGATCTGATTACCATTATGTCCATCCTGAAAGGATGTCCCAGACTAGTGTGAAATTCTGTCCATATACAAGGGCCATCAATAAAGTAATAATGTTTATGAGGTTGTCATAGTGAAACAAGAGGCAGATTAATTCATTTGTAGTTCTTGAGATTTACTGTCAGCATTTAGAGTGATCATTTGCCAAACAGAAGGATTTTTAACAATTAGTGAGGGTGATAGTAGATAGCTAGAAGTAAATGCGTTAGTATGAAGAAGAAGGAAAATGTGACAAAATATAGTAGGAAAACTTTGTGGCTTATTCAGTGAGAGAGCTTGCTAAGGTCACCTGTCTGACATCTAACCTAGCCTTTAACCAGTAATTGTGAGGCCTAAGAATGCCTGCCTATATTTGATAGGTCTATTTGGCTCCAGAATAATCTCATGAAGGTTTCTGCTCCATCTTCCCTTTGGAGACTTTAAACCTAAAAAGAGCATAACATTATAAATGTGTTACAATGATCAAAAATACAGGGATTGCCTTTTGTGAAAATAGCTGAGAACTAGAGGTTATCAATACTTTTTCAAAAGCAAGTGGTACATCTTCCTGCAGTGTCTGTTAGTCTGAGTTTCATTATATGTAGACAAAGATATAAAACCATGCATTTTTCTATAAAATTATAAGCTGACGCTGGGTTTATTCATCAGCAACTTAACTGTCATTTGAAAATAATGATTCCACAAAGTATTATAGACCTTTTAATGATTGTGTTATTAATAGCTCTTCCCCAATACCAATGACCATCTGTGACAGCTTCACCATCTGTGATTGCTATTTCAGTTTGGGAGGGGGAAATAACAATGGTATTGCACTTAATTTACAATATGAATTAATAGCTGACTAGACCTACTGTAGGTAATTACTTTGTCTTTGATTATAAGTACACACTGAGCAAGAGAAAATTAGTTTCTTTGATTTGTTGGCACAACATGGGTTTGGGAAATGGCCATGGGAATCTGAAAACAAAATTAAATTGCATTTATTGAAATCTAAAACATGCAAAAATTGATGGAATGTAGATGAAGAGGATGAAAAGAGCTTAAAAGGCACTTGAAATGGTAGTGAATGTTTCTTTAAAGATCTGTGACAAATGATGTGTTGATTATTGTGATTTGCCAAGGTTAGATAACAACAGGAGAGCAGCAAAAGAGCATTGCCAACACTTTTTAAAAACTTTTACTAGTTGTTGATGATGTTTTAGAATAAACAGAGAAAATAGTGATTTATAATCTATTCAAATTAATTATATTTTCTTGTTTGTAAGTATATTAATCTTGTTGACTTCTTATCTGAGTGAAATAGCATTTATTTCAGAAGTCCATTTTTAATTAATAGCAGTTAATGCTTGCAAAAGTGCTGTCCTTGCCTGCAGAGACAGAAGAGTCAAGCTGGTTAATATTCTTTTTGCTTCCCTTATTAAACTGTGTTAAACTGTGTCCATATTTTGGTATTAACATGGATGTATTCTGTAATGGCTGAGGTGACTAGTTTTAGCGTATGTATATAGATAAATTTCTTTTCCTTTACTAAAGCAAAATTTGTAAGAAGCTATCGGAGAGATAGGGTTCAAGTCCCACTTCTTAATGTATCTACATTGTGCAGGAGCCTAAATTTACTTCAAAACTAAAAAGAACTTTTCTAAACCCCTTGTAATTTAGGGTGCAATTTAGATTGCATTTAATCAATTGCATTGCCTGCTTTCCTAGTTGAAGAGAGGTAGACACCTCCAAAAAATGATGCTTCTCCTAGATCAGGTTGAATCATCCTTTTACCATTAACTGTGGGGAAGTCTGGACATCTGAATTGAACTAGATTCCTATATTTTTATACTCTTTAAGGTTTTTTACATTTTAACTGTAGTTTTGGAACTGGAACAAATTTCATTTAAGAAAGTCTTCAATGAACGGAAGAAAGCGCATACCACTTTGTAAAGCACACGTATCTTCCCTGAAAATATATGTAACAGCAGAGGTGAGGCTGAGTAAAATTGCAAGAAAAATTACAAGATTGACTAAGAACTTCCTGTTGTACCAAATGTGTTGGCACCAGAAACTCCTGCTTTGGTGGCTGGATATCAGTACAGGTTATAGCTGCTTAGCATACTCTCAGTGTCTGGCACAGAGACTTCTGTTTGATTGTATTGATTATATATATGAATATGTATATATGTACATTTATAATTGTACATGTTATATAAAAGGAAGGGACATAGGTCTACATATCCCTCTCTCACACACACATGCACTGTATATGTTTGTGTATAAGCATATGGAAATAATATAAAAAAAGACAGTCAATTCAATTTCAAGAATATAAAGTAGATTTTTCAAACGTAGGCTGAGCAAAGCCCTTATTTTGCATTAGCTTGCTTATCTTCCTGACCTTTATTAGACTGACAGCATTTTTTCATGCCGTTTTCTGCTGCTTATTAACAGATACCACAAGATTTCTTCTCCATTAGAGAAAGTATGTGGTTAAGATACAAAGCCATACCATGAAAAAAAAATTAAACAACTTGTGATTAATTTGTGATCAAGCCTCCGAATAGTGATTCAGTCTTGTTTCTTCTATTGCAGACAAAAGGTTCTTCAAGCATAACTCCATCAGGCACTCAAAAGAAGGTGAAGAGGACTCTGCCCAACCCACCTCCAGAGGAAGCAACAGCAGGAACTCAGTCGCCATATACTTCTGTGGGATCAGTTTCACGCAGAAGGATTTGTAGGACCAACACTATGGCCAGAGCCAAAATTCTTCAGGATATAGACAGGGAATTGGATCTGGTCGAACGTGAATCAGCCAAGCTTAGGAAGAAGCAAGCAGAGCTAGATGAGGAGGAAAAAGAAATAGATGCCAAGCTGAGATACTTGGAAATGGGCATTAATAGGAGGAAAGAAGCTTTACTAAAAGAAAGAGAAAAGAGAGAGCGTGCCTATCTCCAAGGAGTAGCAGAAGAACGTGATTATATGTCAGACAGTGAAGTTAATAGTACCAGGTCAACCAGAATAGAAACTCAGCACGGCTTGGAAAGACCACGTACCGCACCCCAGACAGAATTTAACCAGTTTATGCCACCACAAACCCAGCCAGAAACACAATTTGCCCCTGCTACAAGCCCATATGCTCAATATCAGTATTCATCTCCTGCCCTGCCAACTCAAGCACCAACTCAGTTCACACAGCAATCACATTACCAACAACAGCAGCCTTTGTATCACCAGCAGGTTTCACCCTATCAGACCCAGACAGCTTTCCAAACAGGAGCTACTATGTCCTTTACTCCACAGGCTCAACCTCCACCCTCTCAACAGCCGTCATATCAACTACCATCACAGATGATGGTGATACAGCCAAAACCAAGACAAACCACATTATATTTGGAGCCTAAGATAACAACAAACTATGATGTAATTCGCAATCAGCCTCTCATGATAGCACCAGTTTCAACTGACAATAATTATGCAGTTTCCCAGCTGGGCAGTAAATACTCCACCTTGGACTTAAGGATAGGACTAGATGAGAGAAACAGCATAGCAAGCAGCCCTATATCAAGCATATCTGCAGATTCATTCTATGCAGATATAGACCACCACCATACACCCCGAAATTATGTGCTGATTGATGATATAGGAGAACTTACTAAAGGAACAGGAGCACTTGGTTCCAGTTTTAGCCTCCATGAAAAAGATCTGACCAAAACAGATCGACTGCTTCGCACAACTGAAGCCAGGAGAGCACAAGAAGTGTCAGACTTCCTAGCACCACTGCAGACTTCTTCTAGGTTACATTCCTATGTTAAAGCTGATGAAGACCCAATGGAGGACCCTTATGAGCTCAAACTTCTGAAACACCAGATAAAACAAGAGTTCCGTAGAGGTGCAGAAAGTCTTGATCATCTGGCTGGCCTGTCACAGTATTACCATGCTGAGGGCAGCTACAGACATTTTCCAAAATCTGAGAAGTACAGCATAGGTAGGCTTACTCTTGAGAAACAAGCTGCTAAGCAGCTCCCAGCAGCCCTCCTTTACCAGAAGCAGTCAAAACACAAGAAAGCTTTGATAGACCCCAAACTGACAAAGTTTTCACCTATCCAAGAAAGCAGAGACCTTGAGCCTGACTATTCAAGCTATATGACTTCTAGCACCTCAACACTTGGGGGAATTACTACTAGGGCAAGGCTTCTTCAGGATGATATCACTTTTGGCCTTAGAAAAAACATCACTGACCAACAGAAATACATGGGGCCACCACTGACTTCATCCATTGGAGCAGGCCTTGGGACTGCACTAGGTCCAACAATGAGATCCACATTACAAGATGAAGCAGACAAGTCTTATAGCAGTGGTAGTAGATCTAGGCCCTCATCTAGACCCTCCTCAGTTTATGGGCTTGATTTGTCACTGAAAAGGGATTCTTCCAGTTCTTCCTTAAGACTGAAAGCCCAAGAAGCTGAACCCTTAGATGTTTCCTTTAGCCATGCAGCATCTTCTGGAAGAACTAAACCCACCAGTCTACCTATTAGCCAAAGCAGGGGAAGGATCCCAATAGTAGCGCAGAACTCAGAGGAAGAGAGCCCACTAAGTCCCGTTGGCCAGCCAATGGGAATGGCAAGAGCAGCAGCTGGACCCTTGCCACCAATATCCGCAGATACCAGGGACCAGTTTGGATCGAGCCATTCATTACCTGAGGTCCAGCAACATATGAGGGAGGAGTCACGGACTCGAGGCTATGATCGAGATATAGCCTTCATCATGGATGACTTCCAGCATGCCATGTCAGACAGTGAAGGTAAATTAGGCCTCAGACTGGTATCTTACTATCACAACGCAAATCCTCATTTCTATGCATGTGTCTAATTTCTGTTATACTTCCAAGACTTGTTCTTTCTTCTGTTCCTTGGTGCATCTTCTGTGTATCTACATTTTTGGGGTCTGATTTGTTTTGTTTTGTTTGATATTTTTTATTTTACCCTATCAGCAGTTTCTGGATGGTGTTAAGCTACTCTAGCATGCTCACTGTATTGTTGATTTGCTTTCCTTTTTGTTTGCTTGTGCATTTTCCTTTTCACTTATTAAAGTCTAAATTTCTATGATACTGTGTAGAATATTCCATGTACGATACAGACCCTACCATCAGTCTTTATGTGGAGCCTTTTCCAGTGACTGTGAATCATTGAACTTGCAATAGTTTTTGTTGGGATTTGGAAATAATCTCCCAAATCTCTAAAAAACTCCAGTAATTTTATTTGCATGAAATTTCACAATAGAATTCAAGAACTGATAATTCCATCTCCCGATGCACCAATTTAGATCTGCATTTACATAGTGTTCATTAAGTACATGTTGTATGTTAGAACCATATAAAGCTTAACACAATAGCAAAATAATGTTCTACATATGGTTTGTTGAAAACATCCTGTCATGTGGACTTCTGTGCATTCAGAATTGTGATGATGTAAGATAATTTGTCATTTGGATGGTGCAAGACAATCTCATCCCTCAATAAACTTGCATAAAGTATTTTACTTCTATCGATGGATTATGCAGCTTAGCTGGTTTTATATGCAGCCCATACAATATGTCTGCCAAATAAGCACAAGAGTTTATCTCACTTAGGTCCACGAAAGGAACCTTTCTGATGTATTATAAATGGTGCAATGTTTCTCCTGAATAAGTGCAGCAGAATGTTAAAGCTGATGTTGAGTACTAAATAATTGCAAAGTATGTATGAATTTTGTTTGAGTCAGTTCAGACTTAATATATTCTAAATTGTTTAAAAGTCATGAAGATAGTTTGAAAGAAAATTAAATTAATATGTTCAAAATTGTATGCGCTCCCATAACTTTTTCTTATGTGTATCTACTGCACAATAAAAGAGACTTTGCATGCGCTATATTGTCTGTAAATGGCAATGATTGTCTCAAAAGACACATTTGCATGATTATGAAGAAGTATGGTATATTTTTCAGGTCTATATTAACCTCAGTGTTCATTATTGCTTTTTTACATGTGCTGAATCTTTCATAAACATTAGAAAATCAAATCTATTTGTCTTCCTGATACTACAATATATTGAAGGGGTTTGTTCTATTAGTTTCTTTTCTTATCTCTTAGATATTTGCAACCCCCTCATGAAGTCTGTGTTTCAGTAGACCTTCAGGATCATCGGCTTTTTTGATTTTTATCGGTAGTTTATGTGTTTTCACTGTTCTTAAATTCTTAGCACACAGAGTCCTGTAATTAAATCTGAAGGCAGTTGAGAGGAGCTCACCAAATTGCAACTCATATAATTCTTCTTAAATAAGATGTTATCTTGTCTCAGCTCTTGTGACTTTTAAGGGTCATTCTAGACACAGGACTTTTCCCCCAAAAAAATAAGGAGAACCAAACTGGACCAAACAAAAGCCTATTTGATGCTATTCTACTTCATATAAACAGATCATAGGGAATTATATTTCTGCGCTACAGTGTGTTATGTTTCTGTTATATATTTGTACAAGACATACATGTTACATTTTAGGTTGAACATGTTTTGGTTTTAAATTAGTCTCTGATTAGTTACACTTTTTCAGAAGTATTCTAACTCAATTTGTATGATCCTTATTAGATTGATATGTCCCTGAATACCAGGGCTTTCCCTTTCAGCAATATTTTTCTAATTTCTGTCAAGCTTTTGTTTCTTCAGGAATAGCTTGTTTTTGCACCATTTTGTGTAGTCTTGAGAAAACAAAACACTTTATGACATTATTTTCAAATATGCTGCCTAACAGCAAGTAACTTGAATTGAAAATAATGCATATAAGTTGGATGGAAGATAAAAAATGGTCCAAAAAAGCAATTACAGTTCTTCAGAAAGTTATGACCTTCTTTGCTCTGGACTGCGCTTTTCTCTGAGGTGCCCTGCCAGGGGACAGCTGTTTTAATGTATTGCATCCAGCCTTTTAACGCAGTTTGCTTTGCTTTATCTTTTTTTAAACCACTGCATGGTGTTGTTGAGATTTCATTAAAATAAATCAGTCTTAAGCCCTATCTTAGGAAAACTTTTCTTGTGCTAAAACTTGAATTTTCATCTTTAGATATTTTTTGAAATGAATATAAGTCAAGGTATTACATTTAAATTGTTTTTCTTCAGTTCAAATTGAGTAGATGTACTTGACTTTCTGTTCATTTTTTATAAGTCACATTCCATAACATATACCAGTAGAGAGTACAAACAGGACTTTGAGGCCAAACCTTCTGTTTTTCACTACTCTAACAATTATCAAAACCGTGCTTCAGCACGTAAGTAGTACCTAGACTAGGATTCCAAACTTCAAATGGATTTAAAAAATGGCTTTTAGTGTCAAAAGAGCATAACATCCAGTGGGTCCCACTGAAAATAAAAAATGTTTTGAGCTTTTGAAACACCTGGTATTTTCTCAGGGTTCCAAGTACCGTGAAAGCTCTGATCCAGCAAATAGCTCTTTATTAACCCCACAGCTGCCACATTTTCCACAACTATTAAGTAAGTTGAAGAGACTAATTTTCAAGGATGCTGAAGCTAGTACCCAATTTTATGAATGTAAATAGTCCCTACTGGTCAGCTGAGAAGATATAAAATGTACGTTTTCTCACCTAAAACATTTTTTTCTTTTGTATGCTAGTTTGTTAATTCTACCATAGAGTTTAGAAGTTTAAAATTGAGATATGAAGACATCAAGACATCAACACAGCTGACTCCTTGTAATTTTTCATCTATGGGGTTTGGAGTGATCACTACTGGTTCTCTGATCAAGTTTCTTGGACCTCACAGGCTGGAGTTCAATCTCACCTTGTTAGACTGCGTGCAGTTAACAACATGGGATCTTATTGAGTCCAGCAGGAGTTTTTTACAGGTGGAATCATATGGCTGCATAATGTTAGTCTTAGGAAAACGCACGCATCCTGTGTCAGTGATTCATCTTGGCTGTTCTCAGGTTGCCATCTGAAACAAATCCCAACTAGTCAAGCCAAACCCAATTGTGTGTGTATGTACATGTGAATGTGACGTGTGTGTGTCTATATACACATACATATATAACTTCTTTTAATTTCATATGAAATGCAAACATTCATCACAGTTTGATAAAAAAGTAGGCTGGTCTGAACTGCAGAATGAGATTCTACATATGTGCTTGCTTTTCAAAAGAAGAAATCCAGCAAAAATTAGTTCAACTATGACAGGAGGGAAAAAAAATCATTCTTTCTTCTGCTCAGCTAATGACACAGATTGTGATAGTCAGCATCAGTATCTGAAAAAATGCATTCCGTTCTTCACGTAAGCTTCAGTAAGAAGTTCTGTCAAGATGAGTTACAAACCAAGCTGCTATGTGCAGACACTAGTCAATTGGCATAAATGTGTAAAGCATAAAGGATTTGCATATTAGATCATAATGGTTTATTGAGAGCAATTTATCAATAACTAATCACTAGTCAGACAAGCATCAAGCTTTAATAATGTTTCTATTTAATTCATATATGCCAATCTAAATAATATTTTTGAATTGTTTCCTATTAGATTAAATTTGTGCAGTTAGGAAGAGACTACATAATATCTGAACCAAGATTAAGAATTATCCAAAGGCCTAATATAATATAGGATGTTGTTTTTACCACATACAAAATATTATTTTTTCAAAAATCATGCGTATATATTACTCCTTTTGGGAAGAGAAATTTAATAAAATAGTAATAAAAAAACCACAACATTTTTTTGCTCCCATTAAACTTTTTTCCAGTTCTTTGTTAAACCATCTAGATTATGTTCACTTTAACAACAAAACAGAGAATATTATCACACTACCATTTTTCATTTTAAATTCCCTTCTGTGTCATGGAACAATTGCATTCAATCTTGTTACTATAGCAACAACTGACCTTATTTAAGGTTTGCAATTTCTGTTGGTTTTGCCCAGACAAATATTGTCGTTCTTTGAATTCCAAATTTATCTTGCTTATTAAAGCATAAAATTCAAACCTGCATTACATTCTAATTAGCTACACATTGGTTTGGTTTTACACTGATCAGCAACATTGATGAAAATCTGTATGTTGTATAGTGGAAATAGTATGAAACACGTAGAAGCTGATTCTGATCCCAATGGAGAGAAACCTATGTCAGTTGGCCCAATAGTAAAAGGCATAAATATGTGTATTTGCAAAACTGATTTCAATGAGACGATGTTATGTGATCCTAAAAGGGTATCTAACAGAATAGATTTTATGCACATTTAAAACTATTTCAAATAGAAGAACATTAATCTTAGAGAATTAGTGCAGAAATAATATTCTGCCTAACTTTCCACACACAAAGGTTCATACTGGAAAATCAGGGGATGGAATTCAAAATGAGCACACTTGCAATATTTCTGCTTAGAATTACAAAGAGTATAGTTTGCTTCATATCTTCTTTGATTTGGGATGATACTGATTTCATAAAGGAGTCTCAGTTTTGTTATAACTGGTTCTAGATTAGTTCCAAAGTTTTTTGAACAATATTCAGTTCAGAAGTTTGGGAATTAATGGAGGTTGGGTTTTGAGGGTTGGTTTTTTGGGTGTTGTTTGTTGTTATTTTTTTTTTCCTTAGCCTACTGCAGAATAACTAATTTGTCTAATTTTTTTCGTCAAACATTTTAGAAATGTGAAAAATCTGCAGTGTATTTGTGAGCTGCCAGTAGGAAGGAAATGGCTATAGCACTCAGCAGTAGGTTTCTCATAGTATTTAATATCCATAGTTTTGACATCATAAACTTAATCTTCTCACTTTGCTATATCACTTACAGCTAAATTATGCCTGAGTTCAATGTCTCAAGTCTCTCCTGTAACTTTGCTTTAGCTGCATGGCCAATTAGTAACCTCTATGCATGTTTGCTATGCACAATGCACATTTTGCCCTTTGCCCAGCACTGGATCAGAGCATTTGACCTGTCCTTGGTTTTCAAAGCCTATCATCTCCGTCGTGAAGAAACAGATTGGTTTGACAAGCCCAGGGAGTCTCGTTTGGAGAATGGACATGCCCTCGACAGAAGGCTACCAGAGAAGTTATCCCACTCTCGACCACCAAGTCAACACCAAGATCAAGTAAGCTGTCAAGTAAGCTGTGCCTTTAGTTTTATAAATGATTGACAATTTAATCATGCTGTAGGATAGTGTAGGGACTACAGGATTAATCAAATTCCAGCTACATTCAACTGAAGTACTGGTGAACCTGTGTTTGTCATCAGTACTTGATGATGAAATTAGAGTAACATTTGTCTGCAATTCAGTATTAATTTTACAAGTTGTCTTTTGATTTTTGAAACATACCTGAAAGAAGTTAATAAGCTAACCACAACTATCTATGTATTAGGTATTCCTATTTAAAAAAAAAAAAAAAAAAAAATAAAGCAGTTTGTCCCATTTTACCTTATCAGCTTTATCCCATCCAAATTCAAGCCCCTTCTTTTGGTAGTTTAAGGAAAAAAGTTGCTTTATCCTGTTAACACTTGTTCCCACTTTTAGTTGGTCAGTAGAATCCAAACAGTCTGTGATCAATCACTGAATAAATCAGCAAGACTTTATCAATCTAATAATGAGAATGTTTCATTTATTGTAGCAAGAAAGAAAAATAACATATTCTGCTTTTCAAGCTTGCCAACTTTGAAAGCTAGTTCACCTTAGTGTACCAGCTCATATCCTCTTTGTATTAATGAAGTTTATATATTTCAAATCTTTAAGGTCTTCACTCGATTGTTTCAGTTATCATTTTTACAGATCGATTGAGATTATAGTTTGTTTTCCATCAGATGCAATAGATGCAAGAGAAGGCATTGAATGGCCCCTTTGTGGTATTTAAGAGCTTATATTGATCATGTTAATTCCTCAGATTACGTACGAACAGGAATATGCTACTGTCATGCAGCTTTCGAAACTTTTTTTGCTTGTGAGCATTTTCACTGACGTTTGCCTTAAAATACAGATTTTATGAAGTAAGGATGTAGATTTGATGAACTAAACATTCAAGCATCTTACAATACAAGCTATCATTTTTTTTTACTTTTCCCTCTTTTCCTACCTCTGATTTAGCATATATTGAGATTTACACAGCTTAGGTTGTACTGAGCCTACCCAATTCTTATTGAAAAAGAAGGTTTTGCAAGATACAAGTCTTACAGGGATCTATTCATATAACTTACTGTATAACCAACTTTATTGCAGGATAAAGGATGTTTTAGAGTCTTCACAGCTCTTAATATCGCTGGCAATAGATAAAAATCTGCCTATCTGAGCACATTAATCCTCATGAGACACATACATTATTCTAAGCATACATAATTCTATTTGACCACTGCAGCATCATGAGGTAAAATTAAAAATTTGCATTGAAAATTAGGCTTGTCCAAAAGAGTTACTGTTATCCTGAGCTCTGTGATACGGAAGTGGTCAGTAAGATGTATTTAACCTTTAGAACTCCAGAGCTATTGTCCTTGGAAAGAGTTCCAAGGCAAGTTACTAGTCACAGAGATCCAATCTTTTCTCACGTATAAATTGCACGACACTAGGTTCAGTTGAAAGACTTGTATCAAAATTTTTGAGAGAAAGGTTAAGAGACCCAAGAGTTCTTGTTTTCCTGGATTATTTCCAGAAGTAAGATTTTTTTTTTCTCCTTTAAGCTGTTGTGATATCCCCATGTTTATACAGAAATAGAGATACCTATTTAAAGTCTTGCCAAAGGCATTTTTTAAGGTTTTGTAAAATCCTGTAAAATTCCTGGGATGGAAATTGGAGAATGAACATGTTCTAAATGATTCTGTGTGGTGCCGTGTAAAGCCTCTGAAGAAGAAAAGTGATGTGGAAGGAGAAGCTTTACAACAGTTCCATCTTCATCTGTTTATGTCCAGGTTATCAACTGTCATTCACCCACTGGGACAAAATAGTATCAATGTGTCTGCAGAAGGGATAAATGCCAGTTCTCACCAACTCTGCATCAACTGCCTTGTCAAAATGTTACTCAGAGCTTATGTATGTTAAATATCTTCTGTGAACCTTTGTTTGAGGTAACTAAAAACAATTGCAGACACATTAAATTACATTAAGACAAGATGAAAAGGGTCAGAGACATTTAAAAACGTTTCATTAGCTCCACATTGAATTCTGAAAGTAAAACACTTAGCAACAGAAGCAAGTAAATCAGTATTAACATCTCTGGTTTTTAGCATTCATTTTCTGTTTTAAAGCTATCAATAAAAATAAACTGTTATCAGGCCGATGGGTGTGCTGGGCAAAGTCAATACTCCCTAAAGGCTTTTTCAGCCCTGTCTCTTCTGTAACAAAAAAAGTTAATTAATTCATTGTCCCATGCTGTCTGTCTGCTGTATCCACAACTCTCACTACAGAGACCTGTAGTGTCCAAGCATAATACACTCTGGAGTCAAAAATGGCACATTGTTCTTTGTCCTGACCATCTGAACTGGTCCACCTTCACCCAGAGCTTGCTTTGTTGCAGAGGCTGTCCTGAAATCAGTTAAGAGGACAGTTTCCTAGTTAGCATAGTAATTAAGCCATTACAAGTCCTTTAATATCTCATACTGAGCACAAACCAGCCACAAAAGGAAGTATTTGCATCAGTAGCACTAATCTGCTTGTAACGTATCAGTCAATGTTTCCAAATACACTTATTGGCTGTAAATTTGCCATTTGTGTTTTCTCCTTTGTAAAAAATGTTAATATTTTACTGACCACTACGATATTTGTGTTCCAGAAGATTTTGTTTCACATGTACGAAACATCAGTTCCTTTACTAGATGAAACTGGAACTGCTTGATTCTGTCCCGCAGAACTTGTTCAGTTAAAGGTGATAAATAAAGCATAACCCTGTGCATTTGAAGCAAGAATGCAATGGAGTGACAGCCCTGAACTTCCAGGCTTCCATGGATTTCTTATAACCTAGTAGATTAAGCTCACATACTGTATTATTAATATTAAAATATATTTGTTTCTATAGCAACTTCTCTGTTGCTACATAGTATTCTTAAATCCCATTAAATTGCAGTGCAGTTTAGTATCTTAATAGTTATTTCCCAATATAGTGATTCTAAACTGCTTACCTGAGGAGGATAAACATGATTTAAACCTAATCAGTACATAATATATTGCACATTTCTTACTGATCCTTGTTGACCTCAACAGTTTGCTTAGTCACTGCCGGTTACCCAGCAACTTCTTTAAATCAGCAGACATCAAGGCTTTTATTATTATTTTCTGTGAAAATTATTTTTATATCCTGAACTAAACTGGCTGTTTCAAACAGGTTGCAAGGGAACACTAGGAGGATGTGCCAGGGGAGTAAGAGATCATGACAAGGAGATGGACAGTGAGAGTATATTAACAGGAGCTAAGTAGCTTCTCAGTGAGGGCTTTTAAATACAGGACTTCCAAGGATTATAGGTGGGTCTTTTTAAGACCTAAGTGAATAATAAAATCCCAAACTCATCATAATACCAGTGTATTGTCACCAGTTCTTTGGCAATAGTTTTCAAATCACAAAAAGAAGGCAAGGGCTCTAGAGATGCAACCTTTTGAATGCTAATCCCATTTCTAAAGGCCCTCAAAAAATACACGCTTGTGTTGGTTCATGGGCATGTAACATTCCCTTGAAATTTAAGTCATGCCTTTTTAGGGGCACTTGAATATGTAGAAACAATGAAAAAATGGGTCATAAGGTGAGCAGTGGGGTTAAAATGAGAAAATACTGTTTGTGACAGAGATCCAGAAGGCTACCTGCAAACTTTCGTTCCACATCGTTTAAGTCCATCCTGCTTAGTTTTTATTGTTTTCCAGCTAGCAAGGAGATTTCATTTTAATTTGTAGTAAACTGCTTTTTCTGTTTAAGGCTTGGGCAGGGAGAGGCATTTTGAGATTCAGATTCTCTGGAAATACAATGAGAAATACATTTCCAAATTTAGTGTAATTGTTAAAATATCTAATCTAATGAATGAATTGTTAGCCACCCCCTCACTGTAATTCAAGTTGGAGTTCAGC